TGATGTCAAGCAGCGGTTCAAGCCTTTGTGAAACCAAAAACTTGCACGAGAAACCACCTACAACACCAAACTGTACGGCTCACATTCTTGAGACCTTGAAAGAACATGTTTGTGTTGTAGGCCGAATTAGGCCTGGAGCTGCCACCCGCGGGGCCGCTGAGCTTGCGGCACCGTCGCTGCTGCTTTCGATAATTCTCTCAATGCTCCTCCAACTTTCAAGGTCGTCAGCGTGCTGGCGGCGGGCGCCATATGCTTGGTCGTCGAGATGGCGCCTTGGTCGACAGCGTGGTCCCCAGTCCTTCAGCCACGCCCATTTAAACTCTTGTCTAATATTGGAGCAATTGCTGTAGCACCAGCCGGCCATACATGCTCGATCCAAGCGCTCTTGTGCTCTTGGCCGCGCTGAACCCGCATGGGCTGACCTCATCGTTCAATCCTGGCGCAGGACCTTCTTCAGTTTGCGTGCCCGTAAGCTTCCTGCACGGCCGTTTGCACCGACGCCTGGCTTGGCACTAAATTTTTCTTCCGATCCATTGCTGCATGGCACAGCGTGGCGGAATTCCTCAACCTTCTTCTTCCGAACATGCGCCGGCGTGTCCTGGCCCTCAGGTTACCGTATCTTTCCTTCAACTTCCAGGAGGTCGCTTCTTCGATTCATCATCATCAGACCCATTCCCGACTGCGCATAAAAGTCAAGCTCTGTTGGGCTGGGTGAACTTTCTTGCGCATCCCTTGGCCGGGGGCGCGGCCCTGTTTTCCTCCTCACTTCCTGGTGGGTCCTACGCTTTCATCATCATCCGCTCCAAAATCGTCAGATGGCACCTGCGCTCAGCATGCAGGCGTGTTTGAGGGTTGCGCAGCATGAATGTGCCTGGACGCTGCCCCAAAAAATCGTCAAAGCCTCAATGCGTTCATCCGCCCGTATCCAAGACTCCAAGACAAGAAGTGCCAGCCCCAATCGTCCTTCTTCCTGCGTTTCCCTCTCCATCAAGGTTCGAAAGCAAGTTCTTCGCACATCCTGAAAGCCGTGCGAAGCTTATCGCTTGTCCCGCTCTTTCAGGGTGCGCTTTCGCGCATACAGTCTGAATTGTCGAAGTAACTGCTAGTGATGGTGGCGATTGCGATGTCCCCTCCCTTCGGGGTAGCAGGTGTTCACCCACAACGGGCATACCTGCGCGTAGCTCTCCTGAAAGGACCATCCAAAAAGTACCAGTGGAAGTGAATCAAAGTGGTACGAAAACCCGAACAGCGAGCGAAAGACAAGACGGAGAGAAACCAATGTGGGGTGGTGACAGAGCACCCAGCCGATACAAGAAGGAGAGTAGTAACTTTTAGAAGACCCCTGTAGGAACAGACCAGCAGTCACCATCCTTGCGGGAGGGGAGAGGGTGAGCGCCAAACCACACCGTCAGCCCGGGCAAGAAAAACAACACAAAGACAGCGGAGATGTGTGGGAAGGGAGGAGGGAAAGGTCAAAAAGAATCAAGCACGCGGGCAAAAACAAACAAAGGCAAGGGAAAGAGAGGGGCCCCCCTGGCAAGGTGTTTGAGCCAATCGAGCGAAAAGGTGTGTTTTTGGTGAAGTTCGGACACGGACACCGAATTGGAAGGGAGAGCTCCTCAATGGAGTGTTCATGATTCACGCGCATACGAACTCCGTCCTTCCCTGAGAAATAAGGATGACGTACACGGCAAGCGAACGGCGTGGCCCCAGCTTGGTGTAGGGGCATGTGTTGAGTGTACCCAGACTCTAGTTCAAATGACCTTGCGACAGTGGGGGCAATCCCAGGTCCGATCCCGATAGGTACCCGTACGGTGTTTGCAGGGAACATGAGGAGAGAGAGAGAGAGAGAGCGCCTGTGGTAAAACCTTACGAGCCCAATCGCGAGAGGTTGGCCAAGTGGAGGCAGCTCCCTGTGGGGGTGTCAGCTCGGAAGGGGATCGAAAAAGGCCGCAGGACGCGCTTGCTTGCCGCGAAGACGTGTCCTTTTTGCTGCAGGCAGAGGAGGCGAGCGCTCAAGTGGGTCAGACCTGGGACTTAAGAAACATTTTTTGGGCGGTGCGCGCAGCATCCAGAAAGAATTGTATATCATTAGCTGGCGTGGTTCTCAAGCAGGTCAGCCATGACATCACTCGGATCGTAGTTGGTCCAAGCAACGCCAAAGCAAGGCCAACGAGTTCCTGCGCGGCCGTAGACAAGGTTGCAGGGATGACCGTCAGTGTTGAGGGAACGTTGCCAGGCAAAGAAAATTTGTTTTGAAGAGACGAAGATATCGAGAGCGTTAGAAGCACGAGCTACATCTTGGACGGGGTGACAGGTGCACAATGGGTCGACCGGGGCGCATGAGCATTCCAAGTGGGTTAGCCAGAGGACTCAACTTCTCTCAATGGTGTCGCTGTCATCGGTGAGGCGTATGCTATTGCGATCGCTTGACGTCAAGCTGCGGTTCAAGTTGACAGTCAATTTTGCGTGCGTCCAAAGACATGAACGTGAAACCCCTGACAGCACCAAGCTGTATTGCTCCCACGATTCACGTCTTGCAGGGAATTGTTACAGGAGCTCTTGAGAGGGTATCACGATGCTATATTGCCATGTTGGCTTCCGATCGAGCTCCCAAAGTCGAAAGTATCTTGGTCTGAGTTAAACAGCTGAGTGGCTGATGGTGCTGGTCTGGATATTTGTCTGTCTCATTGTGTCCTTAGAGATTCGGAGTATCAGCGCCAACCACCAAGCTATTAGCCCAAGCAAGGTTCTGCTCTGTCTGTTCAACTTGTCCCCCGCCCAATGGCAAAGCTAAGTCTTCGCGATGGCCTATAGCGATGGCCTCCAACCTAGTAGCTTCTTGTTCCTAGTAGTATTGCCAGGAGCGCTCCTAGTAGCGTCCTTGCTCCTAGTAGCGATGCCGTTTGTTATTCGTAGCTTCTTGTTACTAGTAGTAGGGCCAGGAGCGCCCCTAGTAGCGATGGCCTCCATATTGCTGTGCGGTTCTTTCGAGTTGCCAGGAGGAGCAACACTTGGAACCATTCCGATGATGGACAGGCGCTCATTGCCTTAACCATGAGGGGCGTGGTCACCAAGCTTCGAACTAGTTGAGCTTAACGATCCAGATTCAACTTTTAATGCCGATCTTGGCAACAGTGCTTCATGCTCTTTCGCTTCTAAACACTGCCAAGCTACAGCTCTGAAACTGATCTCATCCTTGGAACAAGACTCACAAACACAGTCGCTGCATGTCGCGGAAACCTAGACTGCGACGGCCGAAGGGATGGACTGCCACTGTTGCACATTGTTGCACATTGTCACATGCGAGATGCTGCCGACAAGTCCGCCATCTGCATGTCCTGGATTGACTGAGTAACTAGTCGTGTTGGAAACGAAGTGATTTCCCTGAAGTCTCGATATCAAGTTGCTTTGCGTTTGGGACCGTTGCAAACGTTTTGTACCCAACGAAATGAGTGGCAACAAAGGGCAGCGGTTCGGGAATGGACCTTTCCCGCTCCCTGCTTGCATGGGATGGTGCTTTTTAAGAGAGAAACCTCGCAAGAAGGGAAGACACTAAGAAGACAAACATATAAAAAACGCAAAACACCATTGAAATAACAGGATGATCCAACAGCCCTACCTGTTTCTAGGTTTTGGATCGCAGACTCGCATGTATCACGCTTTGCCTGCAAGAGCTGGAAGGCCATTTGCCAATCTTTCGTCTTCTCGCATGCAGCGATAGCACAATTGAAGCCTTCGGTCAAAAGGCTTCGAGAATGAACAATAAAAAACAAAGAACAATCCTAGAAGCGATGGCCTCCAACCTAAGCCTATGTTTTGAACAAATCGACATCACGCTGTTTTCGAATCATATTCTGCAACATGTCAATGTCAATGTCACCGCAGCTTCTGCCCTCAGGCTGAGTAGAGCCAAGCCACTGATTTCATTTGCCAAACCTTCTTCACAAAGCCTCACAACTGACATTCATATGCAATCTTCGTGCCAGCCCGGCGATTTCTTTCTTTCTTGTGCATTTCTGTGGAAGCAACGATCGACGCTTGAAACTGAGAGTCCCGACCTGAAGGACACAGTGGTTCAAACTAACAGCAACCTAACAGCACTTCTAGTTACTAATAGTGTCCTTGCTCCTAGTAGTAAGGCCAGGAGCCCCTGGTAGCGCCCTTGCTCTTAGTAGTAAGGCCAGGAGCCCCTAGTAACTTCTTGCTCCTAGTAGTAAGGCCAGGAGCCCCTGGTAGCGCCCTTGCTCCTAGTAGTAAGGCCAGGAGCCCCTAGTAGCTTCTTGCTCCTAGTAGTAAGGCCAGGAGCCCCTAGTAGCGCCCTTGCTAGTAGTAAGGCCAGGAGCCCCTAGTAGCTTCTTGCTCCTAGTAGTAAGGCGAGGAGCCCCTGGTAGCGCCCTTGCTCCTAGTAGTAAGGCCAGGAGCCCCTAGTAGCTTCTTGCTCCTAGTAGTAAGGCCAGGAGCCCATGGTAGCGCCCTTGCTCCTAGTAGTAAGGCCAGGAGCCCCTAGTAGCTTCTTGCTCCTAGTAGTAAGGCCAGGAGCCCCTGGTAGCGCCCTTGCTCCTAGTAGTAAGGCCAGGAGCCCCTGGTAGCGCCCTTGCTCCTAGTAAGGCCAGGAGCCCCTAGTAGCTTCTTGCTCCTAGTACTAAGGCCAGGAGCCCCTGGTAGCGCCCTTGCTCCTAGTAGTAAGGCCAGGAGCCCCTGTTAGCGCCCTTGCTCCTAGTAGTAAGGCAAGGATGCCTAGTAGCGTCCTTGCTCCTAGTAGTAAGGCCAGGAGCCCCTAGTAGCTTTTTGCTCCTACTAATAAGGCCAGGAGCCCCTAGTAGCTTCTTGATCCTAGTAGTAAGGCCAGGATCCCCTAGTAGCGTGCTTGCTCCTAGTAAGGCCAGGAGCCCCTAGTAGCTTCTTGCTCCAGCAAGGCCAGGAGCCCCTAGTAGCTTCTTGCTCCTAGTAGTAGATGGCCCCCAAACTACTAGCAATGGCCTCCAACTGTTCCTTCAACATGGAACCACTGGATCACCTCGTCTCATACAATGCACAGTTGAGACCAAGGTGCTGCTGGAGAAGGTGCAAGGCCGGAAGAAGCTGTCCACACCTAATTCTTGGCAGCTTGACACGGCGCTAGCAACGTTCCTTTTTAGCCCGCCCCCTCCCTACTTGATTAAGTATGCTCCTACTTAATGGAGAGACAGCTAGTAGCTTACTTCGCTTACTTAAGCTACAAGTAGTTCCCGGGCATGCCGGCGGCGGAAGTTTCCAAAAGAATAAGCCTATAGGAAATGGGCATGTGGCAGGCTGATTCGCCGAGCTGCGATGTTCTTTGACAAAACAAGTTGGAACCGACCAATGGAGCAAAAGCGAAGCAACCACCGTCAACTGTCTTGCTCTCCACTAAAGCCAGAGCATAGCTCTAGCTCTAGCTCCACTAAAGCTCACTGGAGCTAGGCGTTAACTATGATGTGATAGCTTGTCTGGACACGAAGCTAATTAGCTCAAATTTGTCAACCTCTCAAAACACATGTTTTGAGGTCTCCAGAAAGAACCACTTTTGAGTAAGCAAAGTAGCTAAAATTTGCCAACCTCTTAAGAGGGCCGGGTGGTCGGGAGACATGACTCAGCTGCAGGGCCCAAGGGCAGCCGCGAGAGATGACTCAGCCCCGTACTAAAGTTGTACTACAAAGTCGCCAGTTCTCATCTTCCAGCTCCCC